CAGAATCTCTGGAGTTGATTATCTACTGGTCAACTACTTTTAAACATGAAGTCTATCCCATAACACTCTGAGAGAACTAATTTTTCATATTCCAACGGGAATAAGTGACAGTTCCATTGTTAACCTTTGACCTATTCACTAGGTTTTCATTCATCCATTCATTTTAAAAATATACTTGATTGGGGGAGGGGGAGGGAAAGGGGAGGCGGCGGTGGGGAAGAGACAGAAATCTTTAATAAATAAATAAAGGTCAAAAAAAGAAAAAAAAGTGTATAGTAAGATAAAACAAAAAAACAATAACATTGAAGTTGGACAAGACAAACGAACAGAAGAAAAAGAGCCCAAGAAAAGGATCAAGTATCAGATACTCACTCATTTACACACTTAGGAGTCCCAAAAAACACTAAACTGGATACATACATACAGGAACTTGTACATTTTGTGCTTATTTTATGCATCTTGGGTTTAGAGCCAGCAATTGCTTAACTGTATATTTATTATTATAAGCCATATGCCATATTCACATCCATATTAAATTGCATTTGTAGCAATTAACACCATGCCATAAATATATGAATTAGAAACTAATTCAACAAGTTAAATTAATAAACAACCTCAATATGACTGTAAAGCAATCAAACTCCCTGAGTTAAAATTAGCATACACAGAAGTGTTTTCGCAATTTTATTTTATAATTAATGGGAGAATGCTTAGGGAAGCTGGAGAAATGAAAACATCTGGATCTTAAATGGTTTCAGCTGACATGACAGCAAAGGAATAGGGAAAAATCTCACGTGATAAAAAACCCATAAATGAGGAGATACAGGCATTTTTCAGTTTTATTGATGTGAGGAAACACCATGGCCAAAAAACATACAGAAGCAAGAATTTATCTAGGGGCTTGAGTAGAGTTCCAGAGGGTTAGTCTATGATCATCATGATCAGTAATGTGGCATCATGCAGGCAGGCAGGCAGGCATGTACTCAGTTGCAAAGAGCTACATCCTAATACACAGATGGGGCAAAGAGAGTGACACTAGGTCTGACAGAGGCTTTTGAAACATCAAGGTCAATCTCTAGTGACACATGTCCTCCAACTAGGCCATATCACTTTCTAAGAGGTCATAACTCCTAGTCCTTTCAAAACAGCCCCCAACAGGGATCCAAATATTCAAATACTTGAGCCTATATTTGCCAATCTCATGCAGCTCATGGCAACTATATAGTCCTAACTGATTAGTCCTAAACACATACACATATGAGCAACAATGAATAGACTCATCATACAGGTATGTATAGATATCATACAGGTATATATATTTGTAACAGTAATTAAAGAAGTCAATAATTTGACAGCTGTTGAAGATAGAACAGAAGTTGTAGGTGAGAGGGAACATTTGAAATAATAAAATATGGACTATACATCTATGAAATTCCCAAAACAATTTTAAATTTAAATGAACATTAATAAAACTGTATTTTCAAATCTACTTTTAAAAGGAAGTGAGGTTCTTGTTAAGGAAATGGGTCTGAAGAGATAAAAATCAAACATGTCACTAACAGGAGAACATAGAACAAAGTAGGGAAGTCTTAGATATTTAGGAGCTAAGGTCTTGTATCTGAACATACCTCTCCTCTGTCCCAGACAGTTCAATGTTGGGTGATTTTCTTCTTCTTTACACTAAAAGGAAAAATTGCCTTGAGTATATTAAGGGAAGGGTATACAGAATTATCTGTTGACCAATTATTTCTTAAAGCTGAATTTCCAAGTCATTTGTTGTTCTACTAAGGTGGGTTGGCATAAACATTTTATATGCAGGCACAA